GTATCCTATCAATATTTGTCCAGTGCCTGAGATGCAGCTTGAATGACTCCATATCATATAATACTTTCTGAATTTTTTCCAAGTTAACAAGTTCTTTTTTTTACAGTGCTTCCCTCCGTGTACTTAATCTATCATTTTAAAAATTATTTTTATTTTATATTGATTGGTATACAAAATGTGTTAACGTTATCTTTCATTTATATACAGTGTGTATCACACATTCCTTCTTCACATTGTGTTTCGTACTATCATTACTACACATTGTATTTTATATAATTAGTCACCATTGATATATATAGCCATTTGTTGTTTTTGTTGTTGTTGTTACATACCTGTTCTGTGTCATCCTCACACTTGCTGACATACAAGATTCCATTGCAGCTGCCACCTTGTCAATTCACCTGGTTGAGGGTCTTCCTTTCTTTCGTCGACCCTCCACCCTTCCCAAAATCATGTCCCTCTCTGAGGAATAGCAACTCCTAGCAGTATGTCCAAAGTATGTTAGGTGAAGCCTCATCATTCTTGCCTCCAAAGAGCACTCTGACTGCACTCTCTCCACTCTGTTTTCTTGGCCGTCCATGCTCTTCTTCAACACCACAGCTCAAAGGCATCAATTCTTTTTCTGTCATCCTTATTAATTGTGCAGGTCTCAGATAAATTTCCAGTAATCACAAAGACCATGGCCTGAATCACACACTTTAGTCCTCAAACTGATATCACTACTCCTTAATAAATTGGAAAGGTCTTTAACTGCAGATTTTCCCATTGCAATTTGTTTCCTTATTTCCTGACTGTTCGTACCAAGGGTTTTAATTGTGGATCCAAGCAAGAGAAAGCTGTTGACAATTTCAATATCCTCTCCATCCATAATGACACTGCCTATTGGTCCAGTGGTAACAATCTTTGTTTTCTTGATATTGAGATGCAATTCATACTGAAGGCTGCATTCCTTGATCTTCTGCAATAAGTGCTTCAAATCTGCTTCACTTTCAGCAAGCAAGGTTGTGTCATTTCATTTGCATAACACAGGTTATTGATAAGTCTCTCTTCAATCCTGGTGCCACTTTTCCCTTCATAGATTCCAGATTCTCAGTTAATTTGCTCAGAATATAGATTGAACAACTATGAAGACAGAATACATTCCTGATGCACTCTCTTCCCAATTCCAAATTATGCAGTGCTCCCCTGCCCCATTTGCACAACAGCTTCCTGGTACAGGTATAGGTTCTTCACAAGCACGATTAAGTGCTCTGAGATTCCCATTCTTCTCAATGTCAGCCACAACTCGTCATGATCCACACAGTCAATAAAGTACAAATAGATATTCTTCTGGTATCCCTTACTTTCAGCCAGGATCTATCCGACATCAGCAATGATATCCCTGGTGCCATGGCCTCTTCTAAATCCCACTTGAACTTCTGGCAATTCCCTATCTATGAATTTTTACAAAATTTTACCATCTGAATTGACCAAACATGCAATCAGGATGTGTTAATGATAATTCATGACTGTAATGCAAAAGTAGGAAACAGTAAAAAAAGTAGTTGGAAAGTATGGTCTTGGTGATAGAAGTGAGGCTGAAAATAGAATGATTGAGTTTTTTATTTAGCATGATTTATTCATTGCAAATACTTTTTCTAAAAGACACAAAAGATTACTTTACACATGAATTTCATAGGAATCAGCTAGACTACATTTGTGGAAGAAATCGTTGGAGAAGTTCAGTATCAGCAGTCAAAACTAGGCCAGGAGCAGACTGTGGGTCAGTTCATCAATTACTCATATGCAAGTTCAAATTGAGGCCAAAGAAAATAGAAATAAGTCCACAGGAACCAAAATCTGATCTTGAATAAATTCCATAGGAATTTCATGATCATCTTAAGAATAATTTTGAGTCCTTGAACACCAACGACAGAAGACCAGATGAGTTGTGGGATGATATCAAGGATTTCATCCACGAAGAAAGTAAAAGATCATTACAAAAACAGAGAAGGAAGAAAAAAACTGAAATGGATGTCAGAAGGAACTCTAAAAATTGCATTGGAATGTAGAGAAGCCAAATCTAAAGGAAAATATGTTGAAGTAAACGAGCTGAACAAATGGTTTCAAAGGGCAGCTTGGGAGGGCAAAGTAAAAATATGGAGAGTGGGAATTGGAGAAAAAAAAGGGAAGAGCTTGCTCTGCCTTTCTCAAGTTGAAAGAACTGAAAAGCAAATTTAGACTTCATGTCACAATTTTGAAAGATCCTATGGGCAATGTATTTGAATGACCCAGAAACATCAAAAGAAGATGGAGGGAATACATAGAGTAACTGTACCAGAAATAATTAATTGATACTGAACAATTTCAGGAAGTACAATATGAACAGGAGCCAATGATAATGAAAGAGGAAGTGGAAGCTGCATTGAAGGCACTGGCAAAACATAAGGCTCCAGGAATCAATGGGATAGCAATTGACTTGTTTCAATTAACAGACATAGCCTTTGGTACACTCACCAGACTATGCCAGAAAATTTGGAGGACAGCTTTCTGGCCAACGGATTGGAAGAGGTCTATATTTGCTCCTATTCCCAAGAGGGGGGATCCAACTGAACATGGTAATTATCAAACAATATCATTGACATCACATGCTAGAAAAATATTGCTGAAGCTCCTTCAAAAATGGGTGAAACAGTACATAAATAGGGAATTGCCAGTTTACGTGGTATATAGCTACTCTCACCTCATTTTTTCAGTTTCCCAATGGTTCTTTCCTAACCCTCTCCCTCTGCCCACCATACTCTGAGACCTTGTGATTTCTCCCCTCTCCACCATCAGCCCTGCTTCTCTTTCTCTTTCCCCCTTTGGAATTTTGTATAGAGCTTAGTAGTTATCCTTCTATTTTTACAATAACGGTCTTAAGCAGTATTTGTCCTTATGAGACTGAGTTAGTTCACTCTGCATAATGCTCTCCAGCCTCTCTCATGTTATATAATTGTTGGGTTTGGATATTTGTTTGTGGTTGCTTTTTTTTAAATCATTGCTCCTGAGTGCTGCATAGTGTTCCATCATGTGAATGTACCACAGTTTCTCTATGTTTTTATGGTGCTCCCTGGGTCATACAAAATTTTTCCTATAGTGTCTCTTGATCTTACAATTCAAAAGTTTAATTTGTTTTTAAGTTCTTTCAGTTTGAAAAATGCTGAGCATTTCTCACTCATGTTTATAGATACCCTATAAACAATGGACCTAAATCTAAGCCATCCTCAACATCTCTGATAAACTTGAACCTATTATTACAGTAATTGTGTCAATGCTTCTCATCAAGGATCTTCCTCTTTCCACCTTTCCAAGAATGATGCTTTTTTCCAAGGGATGACCTCTCCTAACAATATGCTCTATATAATACATGCTACCCTCCAGTAAACACCACTGGGCCAATTGGCAGCATCATGATGGATGGTGAAGAGATTGAGATTGTTAACAGCTTTAGTTTGCTTGGCTCCACAATCAACATTCTTGATACCAGCAGCCAGGAAACCAAGAGATGATTTTGATTGGGAAAGTCGGATATCAGTTGGACAATGATTAGGGATGACAGAAAGAGAATTGATGCCTTTGAGCTGTGGTTCTGGAGAAGAGCTTTTAATATACCATGGACTGCCAGGAGAACAAACAGATTTGTTCTAGAGAGAGTGAAGCCATCCTGCTCCTGGAGGCAAAGATTCTGAAGCTTTGTCTGGCATACTCTGAGCATGTTGCAAGGAGGGACCAGTCCTTGGAGAGGAATATCATGCTTGAAAGGATGGAGGAACGGAGAAAGAGAGGGAGACCACAGATGAAGTAAACTGATACAATGACTAGGGTAATGAAGAAAGGTGTGTTGGAGACAGTAAAGCTGGCATAGGATAGAGCAGATTTCAGGGCTATTGTACATAGGGTGGCTAATAGTAGCAAGTTACTCTTTGGCACATAACAACAACTACAACCAGTAAACACCCCTGTTGCACTTTCTCTAATCACCCTAATGTGAAGTGCTTTGTAAAATCCATTAGTAGATCAGAATTTTTCAATTGTGAAATTTTATTTAGTTTTGTTTCTTTCTCAGATAAGAATGGGACTTATATAACCTAAATAAATGTAGTGCAGTGGGAATTTGATAGAATAACTATTTTTCTTCTTCTCTCTCCCCCCCCCCACTGTTGTTATTGAATACTGTAGGGTTGAAATCCACCCATAGCTGACCCTCCAGCAAGTTTTCAGAGGGAGTTTTCAGAGGGAGAAGATTGCTCATTCTTCTCCTGAGTAACAGCTCGTGGCCTCAAACTGTGCGCCTTCAGGATTGCAGCAAAATTTCTTTCCACTAGGCCACCAGAGCGTCCTGCTACAAAGCAAAAAATACCCATGCATTGGGACATACTAGACACAGATATAATCTGAAGAAAGAATTCTGTCAAATAGCTTCAGTACAAGAAGGGGGGGGGTAAGATTGAAATAAAGAGGAAAGAAAACCAATATTAAGAGAAAAATAATGACTAGATATCAGTTGTAGAGGCAGCATGTGTCTTCTTTCTGATGCCTGGATTGAAAAATGTTACAGTTCCTTATTCCCTCAGAAGTGGAAATTAGTAGAAATTATTTCAGAATGTCAGGGTTGTGAACAGTTTCTTTACTTCTCATAAACCTCCTTTCTAATGCTTCCAGTAAGATCTGTGTTTTCAAAGGCCTATGTAGCCAAGTCCACCCTCTATCTATATAATAATTATTTGAAGCTGAAAAGCACAAAAGCTTCACTTATGTTGTTCTAGAAATTAGGTTTCTTAGCTATCAATTCATTTTATCTTGCATGCAGCTAAGAACATTATCTAAAAGATATGAGCAATGTGCTGAAGAAGAAGACAAAATAATTTTTAAAACACTCTTGGGAAACTAAAAATGTATCTTATTTTCTCTTTATCCTTCCACTACAACATAAGTGTAAAAAAGTCTCTGAGCCTAGAATCAGTCACTAAGGCACTTACCAATATTGTCAGGCTGCATGGTTGCTATGAGAAAAGTGTGAGGAAACAGCATGGCTGCACCCTTCCTCATGCCCTGAAGTTGTACGGTGTTTCCCTGGAACATGACTCCATGAACATCAGTCTCTGTGCCCAGACCAAGCAGGTGCCAGGCCACCATATCGCCCTTGCACATGTCTAGACCAGGCAAGTTAGAGAACAGAAACCCATTAATGGCTGCAAAACAAGAAAATAAAGCAGAAATGGAAGATAAGATTAAAATGATATTCAAAATCACTGAATCCATTCTGTACTTCCCACAACTTGAAACTTCCAAATCTTCATCAGCCCTTTTACCTTACACCTAAATAACTTTGATTTTTCTTATTAAAAAAAACCAACCCAACCAACCGCTAGGACATATACCTGCCTGTTCTTGCACATTTCTTACAGCTGTTCCATACATTCAAATCTCTCCCCCCCCCCAAGGCATGCAGTTCAAATGCATCAGCTGCTCCATGGGAGAAGGGTGGTCAGTCTCTTTCCATGCAATTTACTGCCTCTGAAAACCCACTGTATGGTCAATTATGGGCCAGTTCTGACACCTATATATGGAGGGGGGAGTGGAGGAACTTCTGGTGACTTATGTTGTTATTATGTGTTGTCAAGTCAGAACGGATTCAAAGCTCACCCTCCAGAGGGTTTTCAGAAACTGTAAATCATATAGTAGGAGATTGCCCATCTTTCTCCTATATCCATAATGGTTGAATATCTATCTCTGTCTCTATATCTATCTTTCTATCTCTATCTCTCTATATCTATCTTTCTATCTCTCTATTATCTATCTATCTATCTATCTATCTATCTATCTTCTATCATCTATCAATCTCATAATTCAGGGAGCACTGGTCACCTATTGGCAAGATGCTGTGCTGCAATCCTGAAGGCATGCGGTTCGAATCCACCAGCTGCTCTGCAAGAGAAGGATGGGCAAACTCCTCCCATATGATTAACTGCCTCTAAACACCCTCTGGATGGTCAGCTGTGGGTTGGTCTGACTTGAGGGTACTCAACAATAAGAACATGCCATAGTTTGTGAAACTTTCATACCACAAAATTCCTCAACACTACTTGCTACATAGGCTGTACTGATTTACTTATCAATCTATCTCCTGTCTTGGAAAGACCTAGCAAAAGGTAGATTTTTTTTTTAGGTATGTATTACTGCTTAAGCAACTAGTACATTGTCAGGTACCAAGTTAATGTTCAATAAGTTAAAACCAAAATTAATTTGGCCTATAATTCTCTTTGTTTTAGTTTCGGCAACTAATGGAACTGATTGACTATAGGAATAGAGATAGAGCCAAAAGATAATTAACTTATTCTTGTGTTCCTCTCACCCTTTCCCACTCCCAAGAGGTGTACAAGAAGTCCTTGTTAATGTCCACACAATCATTGGAACTATCTTTAATGAGTTACCCTGTTTGACAGTTCCATAAGATACCTGGGAGATTATTACCAATCCCAAGATTCTGCTTTTCCTTCTTATAATGTTCAAACTACTTTCAACCAGGGACCCATCCCATCTTTCCAGGTAATCGAAGGCGCCAAAAGCCCGCGACATCCGTTCCGGCCCGTGATGCCCTCGGGCCAAGAAAAGCCTATCTACACACCAGTTCTACAGGATGCATTACCTTTGACCGGGAAACATTACTACTAAACTTCAGAGACACTGATCCCAACATAAAGAACTACCAT